GCTGCGCAGACTATTTTCACCATACCATTCATTTATATAAAGATGACTTCATATAAAATAATATAAAATTATACAGAAAGTAAATGTATATCATTTTATTCAAAATTTCCATTATTCGTTTATTTCTTCAAATTATTTACGTAAATTCGAATTCTTTTCCATGGGCATTCCAAAATAAATTTCAATTCTTCACAGTCGTTGTTTATCTCTTTGACAAGTGAATATATCTTTTTGAAAATACGATGAATATTACTGCTGATAACAGAAGCATAGGTATGAGAAGACTCAGTGCATACATACTCCAAGTGAAAAAAAAAATAGTACAAAACAATGTTTCGTTATCATTTCTGTTTTGTCTCATCAATTGGGGTAAGTTGTGCTGAATATAATTGATAGCATAATAAATTTAATAAATAATAAAGAAAAAATACCAAATAGTAAATCTCAATTCTTACCAAGAATTCTCTCTTTTTATAACAGTAGGTTTTAGTGTAATAAACAGAGATCATTCGTCTTTTTATAATACAGTAGACCCCCCTATAATTACGGTCCCTATAATTACAATTCCTATAAAACTGTGAAGAAATTGTGACGGTATCCGTAAAAAAAGGTAAAAAAAAAACTCCTATAATTACGTAAAACGTCGTCGGGCAGCCGAACTACTTTCTCGTCGTCCGTAGCACCACGCTACGGAGAGATTTCTATCGTCTAGACAGTATTATATAAATTACCGTATTAGCCCGAATATAACGCGATATTTTTCGACNTTTTTATAACAGTAGATTTTAGTGTAATAAACAGAGATCATTCGTCTTTTTATAATACAGTAGACCCCCCCTATAATTACGGTCCCTATAATTACAATTCCTATAAAACTGTGAAGAAATTGTGACGGTATCCGTAAAAAAAGGTAAAAAAACTCCTATAATTACGTAAAACGTCGTCGGGCAGCCGAACTACTTTCTCGCCGTCCGTAGCACCACGCTACGGAGAGATTTCTATCGTCTAGACAGTATTATATAAATTACCGTATTAGCCCGAATATAACGCGATATTTTTCGACCATTTATTTTCCGTTAAAAAATCGACTCGCGCTAAATTCGGGGTTTAAGTAATGGAATTTAATATAAACAAGGAGATTTTCCTACAGAGGTTTCCTGTGTTATTAGCTATACAGTAGAGAGTCGTTTATCTGAAAGCTGGTTATCCGAAAGCATTCCAGTCGGCAAATTTAAATTTTCCAATGCTGTGGTGATGCAATCTTCGGCTATTTCTTGGGTTACTGAAATATTTTACGTTTTTGATACTAATTTAACATCTGAAGTATAATTTTTTATTGTTTTTATATTTTTAATAAATTTATTTTGTTTGTACAAAATAAAAAAATAATCTTTAACGATACAATAGTCTTCGTTAGGCTTAACATCGACGAAAATTCAACGCGAAGCCACACGCAACGGAGAAAAATTTCAACATGGGATAAATTAATATATTTTTTCGTACATAAT